AAGTTCAAAAAAGGCTAATTTTCTGATCGTTCTCAATTTCGGATCAATTACCCAACTCAAGCAAAGTTTCCCACTTTCGAAACTCTCAAAACACAATCGTTTACAAAATTTCTAGAGTCCCCAATCCCATTTCGTCGAAATGTTCGATTGTTTGATTGAAATGGACGTGAAACGGTTCGCGTTTGGGCTTACCCAGGGCTAATGAATGCGTTTTTCGTGATCCCCGCCGAAGTGGACATCAGAGTGAAAATTGGAGACAGGGGAAAAGAGATTGGCGATGATGGAGATCACAGAGTCGATTGGGGCAAAAAAGTCGGGCGGTTTGCGGGAAATGGGGGAAGAGGGGAGAAGGGGGGAGAGGCGTTACTGTACCCTCTCGCGCGCTTGTTAGTGATCACTTCTCCCACCCACCTCTATTCCAAATTCCGCATCGACTCTCATTTTTATCGAATTTCTCTTCATTCAATGACGTCGCGTGACGTTCTGGATTCTCCACCGTTCGCTTTCTCAATCATTTTGACCCTTTTGAGCTTTACGCATCCGTTCGCACTTCAGATTTTTCAATTCTGGCTTTCAATTTCAATTCTCGATTCAAATCCTGGCCTTTAAGCATCAGCAATGGTTATCCTGGAACGCACTTTCGTTTTCTAAAATCTTGGATCACTTGTCTCTGACAATTTTCACACTTTTGAACCAGTTCAATCCGTTTGTCCCTCAGTTTTTTCAATTCTGAATCGCAGTTGATTGTTTAGCGCTGTCAAAATGCATTCTGGGACTCACTTTATCCAAAAAACATTACAAGTATTGGGTTGGGGACTATGACTCGGCGCCGAAAATCAAAAAAATGTCTAAAACTTCTATTCGACTTCGTCAAATAATATGCGTTTGATATCGTAGAATGGTATTCTCTACAAATGACAAAAGATCCCGCCCCGCTCAAAACATCTAGAAAAACGGTGGGTCCCGGAGGGAACGGGAAAGAAGTGGCCAGCGTGGAGGGGCTTTGTGGAATCTCTCAAGTCAGGGGGCCGTGAACAACGTTTTTTAAAGAAGGCTTTGTGCGCCCTTGTTGGCGGATAGTCCACCCTAGTTGAAAGCTAATATTCTTTCATAAAGTTGAACGAATTGGCACTCCTTTTGTTTCATAGTTCTCAATTTTCTCTAGAGGTGCGATAGGCCGAAGACTTAAACCGACTTTTTGTCCTTTTACAGTACTCCCTTCCCCTCTAAACTTTTAAAAGATGTCACATAGCATACTTTTTGATACTTTTCTACTGCTATCTAACCTATATATAATTTTGAAAAGTCAGTCTGTCTGTCGGAGCTCTAGCGGGGTGCAGGAGTGAGTTTTTTAGGAAACGGCCAAAATACGGATCCCCTGAAATTTGATGGATTGGGTGAGAAGGTAAGTCTGTCCGTTTTTTAGGGGAGGTTCTTAAACTCAACCAATCTCCACGTGTTATGGCTCATTTGGCAATCTACATGGCTCATTCGAAAGATGAATTCAAGATGGAAAAGGGGGAAAACCGTTTTTGAATTCATAAAGTTTTGAAATTTTTACAGGCGCTTTACAGAGCTCAGTCAGACCCGAAAAAGTGCCAAAGTTGCGTTTCGATAGTTTTTGTTTAGAAACATAGGCTAAAAACACATTATTCGTACTCAGCCCATTAAATTACCCTTAGAAACTCATTTTTAAGATTTTTGCAAAAAAAGTCAAAATTTTTGCCGCGGCCCGGAATCGAACCCTTGACCCTTTGGGTAGGAGACGTCGCGTTGTTTTTTTGCCCATTTTATTTGCTTTCTTCCTTTGTCTGCACTTTTTACCTAAAAAATAACAATCAACAGGAATCAATTAACAATTTAATGAGCTGAGTACGATTAACGTGTTTTTAGCCTATGTTGCCCAACAAAAACTATCGAAACACAATTTTGGCACTTTCTCGGGTCGGATTGAGCTCGGTAAAGCGCTTGTAAAAACTACAAAACTTTATGAATTCAAAAACGGTTTTCCCCCTTTTTCCATCTTGAATTGAGCTTTCTGTCAGCCATTGTAGATTGGCAAATAAGCCATAACACGTGGAGATTGGTTAAGTTTAAGAAACTCCCCTAAAAAAACGGACAGAACTTACCTTCTCACCCAATACATCAAATTTTAGGGGATCCGTATTTTAGCCGTTTCTTAAAAAACTCACTCCTGTGGGGTGGGACAAATGCGACCTTTCTTTGCCCACCTGGACATTTGCGCACCTTTTTTTGCTGGAAAAGGCCTTAGGAAAGGTCGTAGAGCTTCAAAAATATTTCCACATAAGGGAATCGTATGGGTAGATTCAGAATTTTGACAAATCAGACCTCGCTGACACGTTAAATTTGAGCTAAAAGGCAAAAACTACGCAACTTAACGCTTTTCCGCAGTTTTTGCCTTTTAGCCCAAATTTGACGTGTCAGTGAGGTCTGATTTGTCAAAATTCTGAATCTACGCATACGATTCCCTTATGTGGAAATATTTTCGAAGCTCTACGACCTTTCCTAAGGCCTTTTCCAGCAAAAAAAAGGTGCGCAAATGTCCAGGTGCGCAAAGAAAGGTCGCATTTGTCCCACCCCCCACTCCTGCACCCCGCTAGAGCTCCGACAGACAGACTGACTTTTCACAATTATATAATTATATAATTAATTATATACCCGTTCAGTAAAAAAAGTTATGTTCGGGTTTTGGGCTTTTAGTGCCTCCAAACACGTGCTGCGGCTTGGCAGGTAATGGTCGAGTGGTTAATGCGCTTGCGCCGCGGCCGAGAGGTCAAGGGTTCGAATCCGCCTCCGGTCAAACGTTTTGCTTCTTTTACCAGAAACTCAAATCAAATAGAAATATGCATAATATAAATACACAAGATGCATTTATAATATATTATCGCATTATACATGTCCGTAACAAGACAATCTTCTGGATCAGCTAAGCTCTCTGGCAAGCAGATCAGCCTCTGGATCTGCTACCTTTTTTTAAGTCCACTTTTACCCCCGGATCAGCCTTGTCCAGCTTAGTTAGCTACCTGGCCTCTAATTTGCGTCCAAAAGGCATCCTGCCACTTTTTAAATAATCTCAACCAATCCCAGATTCGATTCTTTAAAACAAATTCTTCTTTCTTTCTTCTTTCTTCTGCCTTTTTCGACATTCATTTCATTTTCCGTTTTCTACATCTTCTAGAATTGAGGTATTGCCCGGTCAATGGATTGGGCCCTCCGATTGGGGCTGTTGGCCCTTGTGGTCAACACGAGCATAGCTCAATACTGTACAAAGACGACACCGGCACGGGGTGAGCATGAAAATCTGGTTTTGGCTATGAGAACTTAATCTAAATTTTAAATTTTTCGTCAATCTGGATGTCACATCAAATTTCGATAAAGCCAGAATTTCGATTTTAAGCAAATAAAATTTCTCGAGGGAAGTCGACTCGAAATATTCGGTATAGCCGTGAAAACTGGGTCCTATTTTTGAATTTTCCTTATATCTGGATGTCACCTCGAATTTGCGGGCAGCTAGAGATTTGATTTTAAGCAAATAAAAATTTCTCGACTTTGGTTTTGCCACTTCGACACCACTCCGACAAAATTTTCGCATAACCTAATTTTTTCACTAAAACCACAATGTTCTGTGACATCCAGATTGCCCAAAATCGATGCTCGAAAGATTTTCCGTTTGAAAATGTCAAGCAAAAATCACGACCGTAAAAATTTCAAACTCGCCGACACGTGGGTCGGTCAGTCGGAGGCTGGTCGTAAAATTTCCATTCCAGCTTTGAAAAACAAAGTTCTTTTCTGTAAAATAAGTAGAAAAGGGCTGGGGAATTAAAATTTAAATGAAAATTGAGACAATTATGCAATTTTTTTTTCAGAATCTACGATAGCGACGACGATTTTATTCAACTGGGAAACGACTGGGCCAACTGGTGAGTGAAAACGGAAAATTTAAACCGAAATGGTCGATCTGGAGCGCACTACATGTGCCAGAACGTTGGAGATAACAAAGTTACGAAAAAAATTGGCTCTTGGAGTTACGGAAGCTCTTCTACCTTATAGAAAAGCTTTTATACCATAAACAAGCGTTTCGAAACACTGAAATGGTCGATCTGGAGCGCACTACATGCGCCAGAACGTTGGAGATAACAAAGTTACGAAAAAAATTGGCTCTTGGAGTTACGGAAGCTCTTCTACCTTATAGAAAAGCTTTTATACCATAAACAAGTGTTTCGAAACACTGAAATGATCGATCTGGAGCCCACTCTATTAGCCAAAACGATAGCAATTAAAAAATTTCAAAATTGGTTCTTAATATCAGACTCTGGGCAAGTTGGGTAATTGATCCGAAGTTGGGAACCGTAGAAAATTGATTGTTTTGGAATTTTTAGATGTTGTGCGCTCCCGAATGACCAACTTAGTTCTCTTTGACCAACTCTGTTCTCTGAGACCTCTGAAAATAAGTGGAAGAATAGCTGTTTACAGCCTTGAACCCCTTTTCCACCTTCACCTTGTAGAAAAGCTTTGATACGATTGTCAAGGGCTCCAGAACACCAAACACGGTCATTCTGGAGCGCAGCCAATGTAAAAACTGTAAAAACCCGAATGATTGCTTGTTTTCTTGTTCCAGGAGAGACAACAACAGCCGACCCAACGACAACAACGGAATTTGCGACAACCACACCCGATCTAACCACGACAACAGCGGATCTGACGACAACAGCGGATCTGACGACAACAGCGGATCTGACGACAACGACACCCGGTGAGTCTGAGCTCAACAACTATCACAGCTAGATATCCACCAATACAATAATATTGACAGCTTGCCTTCGCACAAAATTTTCTTTTCCTTTTCTCTACAATTTGGTTCGTTTCTCTACAATTTGGTTCCTTTTCTCTACAATTTGGTGGCGCCAAAACTTTCTCTACAATTAGGCGCCACCACAACACCGGACGCAACAACAACAGCTGATGGAACGAGCACAGCCAGCGCCACGACCACTGATGGTTAGTTTGCGATGCAAGAAATCTAGATTTACACGGATTGCACATAAATTCACGTTTTACATGAGCCAATTGAACACTTTCACTTAGGTGCCACAACTACAGCTGGGGGAACCACAACGGCTGGCGGAACAACCACAGCTGACGGAACAACCACAGCTGGAGCCACCACCACTGACGGTCAGTGGAAAACATCTAGTCGTTTATTTGAACAACAGTTCGGGCAATAACTTCACTTTTATGCACAAACAGCTGCGCTGGGCATACATGAGCCACTTGAGCACTTTCACTTAGGTGCCACCACTACAGCCGGGGGAACCACCACGGCTGACGGAACAACCACAGCTGGAGCCACCACCACTGACGGTCAGTGGCAAGCACCTAGTCGTCTATTTGAACAACAATTCGGATTGCACATAAATTCACGTTTTACATGAGCCACTTGAGCACTTTCACTTAGGTGCCACAACTACAGCGGGGGAACCACAACGGCTGGCGGAACAACCACAGCTGACGGAACAACCACAGCTGGAGCCACCACCACTGACGGTGAGTGGAAAACATCTAGTCGTCTATTTGAGCAACAATTCGGGCAATAACTTCACTTTTATGCACAAACAGCTGCGCTGGGCTTCCACTACGCTAGGCTTTGCTAAAATCGTACAAGTAAAATGAAATTTAAAATATTGCTCGGCAGCAGAAAAATGCGCAAGATGTATTCCCGCCCTCATACCAATTATAATTAGACATTCCGAGTGTTCCCTCCCCCCCTTGCCAGAGGCATTTTAGGTTTTTCTCGACGCACAATGTACCAATTGGGCCCTTCTTGATTTCATTCGATGCGTCTAACTTTTCTCTATCCAATGAAACCAAGAACAGCGAGGTTGGTAAATTGTGTGTCGAGAAAAATGTAAAATGCCTCTGGCAACGGGGGTTCCTGGGGGTACTTACAGGGGCACAGCGAGGGACACTCGGAATGTATAATGCCAACTATTGCCCCCCCATCCATAGTATTTTGCCGGTGGGTGAGGTAATTCTTCGGTTGAAATGGAGGGTGGGACGATTCTTGGGTAGGGTGGGTGGTAATTGTACAGTCATCCCGAATCTTCATTCGGGATAGGTCATCCTAAGCATGAAACAAAGAAAACAGCGAACGGCATGTGCCAGAAAGTGCGGATGAGATGGCTGATTTGTAGAATGGCTATTTGAGACTCCGAGAAGCTTTAGAGCCAATTGTTCGATAGAATTTGTAAGCTTTACGATCTCTAGGCGTTACTACGACCGGTGGCGAGACGACGACTGAAGGAGACACAACTACCGGTAAAATATTGACTCGGATTTTAAATTAGAACTTTCTTAATAGCTTACCTAATTCATAGCGTTAATGAATGTTCCAACGCTCCGATTTTTAGGCGGTGACACGACAACGGGTGGAGAAACGACGACCGGTGGGACAACAGGTACAGTAGACAATTTTGGACAAGGTTTAGGCTGATTTTAGATTGAAAACTCCTGTAAGACACGCTTTTAACGAAATCTAAATTCGATCTGGAACGAACACACTTTTTTTAGGTGGTACAACAGGTGGCACGACTTCCGGCGGCTCAACTGGCGGCACTACTGCTGGCGACACCGGGTCCACTGCAGGTAGTAAAATTTAACATATCTAAAAATCTAGAGATGGGAATTTGCCTAATGAGTTCCAGATAGGAAAATAAGAATGTAAAAACCTAATGTTGTAAGAGAGAAAATGAAAATTTGACCAAGTCGTTTTAGCGCCGACAACTGGCGGTACAACGGTGGCTGGGACGACTGGTGGCTCAACGGGAGGCTCAACTGGAGGAACAACTGGAGGCACAACTGGAGGCACAACTGGAGGCTCAACTGGAGGCACAACTGGAGGCTCAACTGGAGGCACAACCGGAGGCTCAACTGAAGGCACAACTGGAGGCACAACTGAAGGCGCAACTGGAGGGACAACTGGAGGGACAACTGGAGGGACAACTGGAGGGACAACTGGAGGTACCACTGGAGGCACAACTGAAGGCGCAACTGGAGGGACAACTGGAGGTACCACTGGAGGCACAACTGAAGGCGCAACTGGAGGGACAACTGGAGGTACCACTGGAGGCACAACTGAAGGCGCAACTGGAGGGACAACTGGAGGTACCACTGGAGGCACAACTGAAGGCGCAACTGGAGGCACAACTGGAGGCGCAACTGGAGGCACAACTGGAGGTACCACTGGAGGGACAACTGGAGGGACAACTGGAGGTACCACTGGAGGCACAACTGGAGGTACCACTGGAGGGACAACTGGAGGGACAACTGGAGGTACCACTGGAGGCACAACTGAAGGCGCAACTGGAGGCACAACTGGAGGTACCACTGGAGGGACAACTGGAGGGACAACTGGAGGTACCACTGGAGGCACAACTGGAGGTACCACTGGAGGCACAACAGCCGGAGAGACTGAATCAACAGCGGGTAAAGCTTGTTAAAGCTTGTAAAACTTAATCTAAAGCAATACATCTACTTTTTACCCTAAATAATCCCCTAATCTTTGTCTAATCAAACGGATCTTGGTCTTCATTGTATCAAAGATTACTGTAGCTTTTAACCTTTATGACATTTAGCTGGCAGCACTGGAGGCACAACAGCTGGAGGCTCAACCGCTGGGGAAACTGGATCAACAGCTGGGGAAACTGGATCAACAGCTGGTAAATTACCCAAAAATTTGTAAAATCTAAAAGTTTATCATATTCCTTAGCCCAAATCCTATAAGTATTAACTTTATCATCAATATTCCATGACATTTAGTCGGTAGCACTGGTGGAACAACGGCTGGTGGGTCGACTGGTGGCTCAACGTCCGGCGAAACCGGATCCACAGCTGGTATTTGAATTTTTTTGACTGAGATTTAGGGATTAAGGCTGGCACACTGTTAAATTTACTCTTGAAATCCAGAATTGTTAACTTTTGTAAAATTTAAGCTGGCTCGATTGATTAATCTAAATCTCATTATTCTGGTCCTTGCTTTTAGGCAACACCGGCAGTACCGTTTCCGAAACGATCATGGCAAGCACCGGTGAGTTTGAAAATGTTAGGAACACAAATTTCAGTCAACTCTGCTAACTAGGCTGTGAGTGCCACTAACACCAAACACTTTTCAGAAGGCACCGATGAGACTGGAGCAACGACACCAAGTGGAACTGGTGGTACAACAGCTACTGGAGAGACTGGAGGATCAACTGGTATGCACAGTTGCTTAACAACTATTTGTCATGCAACAATTGCATGGTTGGAATGATGGAGTACAATGTTTTAGGTGGCACTGGTGGCACAACGGCTACCGGAGAAACGGGAGGAACCACAGCCACTGGGGAGACTGGCGGAACTACAGGTGTCACAAATTTATGTTGACTAATTGCCCAGATTGCTCATTAAAACAACAATGCTTACCGTAACCTAATTTCCTGATTGAAGTGCTTTAGTGTGATGTTCAGGTGGCACCGGAGGCACTGTTGGCACAACACCGAGTGGCACTGGTAGTACTGGGTCAACGTCTGGAGAAACGGACAGTACCGGAGAAACGGGAGGAACCACAGCTACCGGAGAAACGGGAGGAACGACAGCCACTGGGGAGACTGGTGGAACGACAGCTACCGGAGAGACGGGAGGAACGACACTACCGGGAACGGGGAACAACAGCCACTGGGGAGACTGGTGGAACCACAGCCACTGGGGAGACTGGTGGAACGACAGCTACCGGAGAAACGGGAGGAACCACAGCTACCGGAGAAACGGGAGGAACGACAGCCACTGGGGAGACTGGTGGAACGACAGCTACCGGAGAAACGGGAGGAACCACAGCTACCGGAGAAACGGGAGGAACGACAGCTACCGGAGAAACGGGAGGAACAACAGCCACTGGGGAGACTGGTGGAACCACAGCCACTGGGGAGACTGGTGGAACGACAGCTACCGGAGAAACGGGAGGAACCACAGCTACCGGAGAAACGGGAGGAACGACAGCCACTGGGGAGACTGGTGGAACGACAGCTACCGGAGAAACGGGAGGAACGACAGCTACCGGAGAAACGGGAGGAACCACAGCTACCGGAGAAACGGGAGGAACGACAGCCACTGGGGAGACTGGTGGAACGACAGCTACCGGAGAAACGGAAGGAACAACAGCCACTGGGGAGACTGGTGGAACCACAGCCACTGGGGAGACTGGTGGAACGACAGCTACCGGAGAAACGGGAGGAACCACAGCCACTGGGGAGACTGGTGGAACGACAGCTACCGGAGAAACGGGAGGAACCACAGCTACCGGAGAAACGGGAGGAACGACAGCCACTGGGGAGACTGGTGGAACCACGGCCACTGGGGAGACTGGTGGAACCACAGCCACTGGGGAGACTGGTGGAACGACAGCTACCGGAGAAACGGGAGGAACCACAGCTACCGGAGAAACGGGAGGAACGACAGCCACTGGGGAGACTGGTGGAACCACAGCCACTGGGGAGACTGGTGGAACGACAGCTACCGGAGAAACGGGAGGAACAACAGCCACTGGGGAGACTGGTGGAACCACAGCCACTGGGGAGACTGGTGGGACGACAGCTACCGGAGAAACGGGAGGAACCACGGCGACCGGAGAAACGGGAGGAACCACAGCCACTGGGGAGACTGGTGGAACGACAGCTACCGGTGAAACGGGAGGAACCACGGCCACTGGAGAGACTGGTGGAACCACAGCTACCGGAGAAACGGGAGGAACGACAGCTACCGGAGAAACGGGAGGAACAACAGCCACTGGGGAGACTGGTGGAACCACAGCCACTGGGGAGACTGGTGCAACGACAGCTACCGGAGAAACGGGAGGAACAACAGCCACTGGGGAGACTGGTGGAACCACAGCCACTGGGGAGACTGGTGGAACCACAGCCACTGGGGAGACTGGTGGGACGACAGCTACCGGAGAAACGGGAGGAACAACAGCCACTGGGGAGACTGGTGGAACGACAGCTACCGGAGAGACGGGAGGAACGACAGCTACCGGAGAAACGGGAGGAACAACAGCCACTGGGGAGACTGGTGGAACCACAGCCACTGGGGAGACTGGTGGAACGACAGCTACCGGAGAGACGGGAGGAACGACAGCTACCGGAGAAACGGGAGGAACAACAGCCACTGGGGAGACTGGTGGAACCACAGCCACTGGGGAGACTGGTAGAACGACAGCTACCGGAGAAACGGGAGGAACCACAGCTACCGGAGAAACGGGAGGAACCACAGCCACTGGGGAGACTGGTGGAACCACAGCTACCGGAGAAACGGGAGGAACCACAGCTACCGGAGAAACGGGAGGAACCACAGCCACCGGAGGGACTGGTGGAACCACAGCCACTGGGGAGACTGGTGCAACGACAGCTACCGGAGAAACGGGAGGAACAACAGCCACTGGGGAGCTGGTGGAACCACAGCCACTGGGGGACTGGTGGAACCACAGCCACTGGGGGACTGGTGGGACGACAGCTACCGGAGAAACGGGAGGAACAACAGCCACTGGGGAGACTGGTGGAACGACAGCTACCGGAGAGACGGGAGGAACGACAGCTACCGGAGAAACGGGAGGAACAACAGCCACTGGGGAGACTGGTGGAACCACAGCCACTGGGAGACTGGTGGAACGACAGCTACCGGAGGGCGGGAGGACGACACTACGGGAACGGGAACAACGCCACTGGGGAGACTGGTGGAACCACAGCCACTGGGGAGACTGGTGGAACGACAGCTACCGGAGAAACGGGAGGAACCACAGCTACCGGAGAAACGGGAGGAACGACAGCCACTGGGGAGACTGGTGGAACCACAGCTACCGGAGAAACGGGAGGAACCACAGCTACCGGAGAAACGGGAGGAACGACAGCCACCGGAGGGACTGTTGGAACCACAGCTACCGGAGAAACGGGAGGAACCACAGCTACCGGAGAAACGGGAGGAACCACAGCCACTGGGGAGACTAGTGGAACGACAGGTGTCACAGATTTATGTTAACTAGATTGCTCACTAAATACAACAATGCTTACCGTAACCTAATCTACTGATTGAAGTGCTTTAGTGTGATGTTCAGGTGACACCGAAGGCACTGCAGGCACAACACCGAGTGGCACTGGTGGCACTGGGTCAACGTCTGGAGAAACGGGCAGTACTGGAGGTACAGGAGAAACCACAGCTACGGGAGAAACCGGTGGATCAACAGGTGTGCACTGCTTGTAGTCGGAAGCTTGATCAAAGGAAGGTTGATCACCTGATCCGATTCTTCATGTCAAGAACGGCTCTGATGTGTCTTTGGCTTTGCAGCTTGAAGTGTTTCTAATTTTTTTGAGTTTCTGGCTTTTTCAGGTGGTACAAGCGAAACAGAAGCCACGGGATCAACTGCTGGACAAACTGGCGAAACGGGTGAAACTGGAGGCACAACACCAAGTGGCACTGGCAGCACTGGCCCAACAGCCGGGGAAACTGGTGCAACGGGAGAAACCACAGCCACCGGAGAAACTGGAGGATCCACAGGTGCACAAAAGTTTGCTGTGGTCATGTTGTTTGTTAGATTTCTGTTGAGGGAAAACGTTTTCTATTCGGCGCTTTTGGGTCATACCGGTTTACGGTAACTCTTTCTTGAGGGCAATTTTCGAAAACGCCACCAAAAGAGCGCCTAGGCAAGATTAAATCCGCTGTAGATTCCATGGTTAAATAGAAGATATGCAAAAAAAGATGAAATTTCGTCCCTGATTTGAATTTTGCCGGTGATGGTATCCCATCTTTCCGCAACTTTGAGAACAATTGTTAATCAAAACAATTTCATCTTTTTTTGCATATCTTCTATTTAACCATGGTTAAATGGTTCTACAACGAATTTAATCTTGCCTAGGCGCTCTTTTGAACGGAGCTCTTTTGGCGGCGCTGTTTTGGTGGCGCTCTTTTGAACAGCGTCCTTTTGATTACGGCGCTCTTTTGAACGGCGCTCTTTTGGTGGCGCTCTTTTGAACAGCGTCCTTTTGATTACGGCGCTCTTTTGAACGGAGCTCTTTTGGTGGCGCTCTTTTAATATAGTCCCGAGAGGATTTTTTAGAAAACGGGCTACAGTAACTTTTTCTGGGGAGCACCAATAGAAAACGATCCAATAACAATCTGCATCAAAGTGTTGCTTGAAGTGAATGAGTGATAGACATGACTATCAAAAATTATCAATATTATCAAACATGATTAATAAAGATTGCTAAGGTTTCTAGAAGCTATTTTTACAATTTATGCGACCGACAATCCGAAATGTCAGTGTTGAGCAATAGCTCCTCCCGGCCACTCTAAAAGATTGATAATTCTTGATAGTCATGTCAGGTCTTGTTTAGATGGTACTGGGGGAACTGGAGGTACAACTCCAAGTGGTACTGGAGGTTCGACAGCTGGGGAGACGGGCGGATCAACAGGCACGGGAGTTGTTTTGCCGTGATCAGTGCTTGCTGTGCAACACATGTCTGAATTGTTCCATAAGGGTTAAAGTAAAAGGAAAATCAAAACCATCAGCAACACTACAATATTAAATTATAGTGATTGAAGGAATTAGGAGCTTTCAGGCACTGGTGGGGCCACTGGAGGTACAACACCAAGCGGTACTGGAAGTACTGGAGGTACTGGAGGCACTGGATCAACCTCGGGAGAAACTGGTGGAGCGACAGGTATTGACTGTGCCAGATAAATAGGCATTCCTAATTTTTGCGTGTGTTTTGTTTAATGAAGTAAAGGAAGCCATGCTACCTCCGCCCCTTTTTCAGTCCACTTGCCGTTGGCAATCTACAATCATAGCTTAACCGGGTTTGTTTGAAAAACGTTGAATTTGCTTTCATTCGACTCGAAATCAATTTTTCTTTTTTCTATCGAATGAAAGCAAAAACGTTTTTCAAACAAACCAGGTCAAAGTACGAATTCGTAGATTGCCAACGGCAAACGGACCAAAAAAGGAGAGCAGTTGACATGGCTGAGTGAAGTGAAAGAAAAGTATTCGGTTTTTGAAGTTATTTTGCTGTTGGTACACGAGTTTTGTTATGATTTCGCAAAGCTGCAAGCTGTTTTATCCTAAAACCGTTTATAGTGACTCACTGGGGTGTTTAGGTGGCACAGAAGCCACAGACGGTACTGGCTCAACCTCTGGAGAGACTGGAGGCACTGGAGGCACAACACCAAGTGGAACAGAAGCTACGGGTGGTACTGGGCCAACTCCTGCAGAGACTGGTGCAACTGGAGAGACTGGAGGAGCTACAGGTGGCACTGAAGCAACGACTGAAGCAACGGGAGCCACTGGAGCAACGACGGCTGCAACGGGAGCCACTGGAGCAACAACAGCTGCGACGGGAGCCACTGGAGCAACGACGGTTGCAACTGGAGCCACTGGAGCAACGACGGCTGCAACTGGAGCCACTGGAGCAACAACAGCTGCGACAGGAGCCACTGGAGCAACAGATCCAACTGGAGAAACCGGAGGAGCCACAGGTGCACTGTTTGTCTAACTCGAGTGTCAGTGTTGCGGTGTTTAGTGTGTCTAAAAACCAAGTGACTCTTTGAAGTGACTGAAAAGGGAAAGGCAACAGTAGGATGTGGCCAAATGTGATAAGCCATAGAGCATTCGATAAAGCATTATAGAAAGCCATTTTGCAAAAACGGGAAGCAGATTCGGAATTAGCGTGAAATTCTTTGTCGAATGGTCTATGGCTTATCTCATTTGACTACATCCTACTGTTGCCGTTCTCTTGTGAGTGAGGTGTTTAGGTGGAACTGAAGGTACAACACCGAGTGGGCAGACTGGTGGAACGACAGCTACCGGAGAAACGGGAGGAGCCACAGCCACTGGGGAGACTGGTGGCAGCTACCGGAGACGGAGGACCACAGCCACTGGGGAGACTGGTGGACACAGCTACCGGAGAGGGGGCCACAGCCACTGGGGAGACTGGTGGAACGACAGCTACCGGAGAAACGGGAGGAACCACAGCCACTGGGGAGACTGGTGGAACGACAGCTACCGGAGAAACAGGAGGAACAACAGCTACGGGAGAAACTGGAGGAGCGACAGGTACGGGAGTTTCACCGTAACGAGTGCTGTGTTCAAAATCCTAACTAAACAAGTGACAGGTGTGCCAAAAATTTGTGTGCTTTGATTTTATAGCCATTCACAAACGTGCCAAAGTTTGCTACATTGCCTACATTTGTTACATAAGTTGATAGAATTGCTTTTCCTAGCCATTAGACATTAAGGCCAGCCAGAGGTCAGCCAAGGCTAAATTTACCATCTTTAACTTGCTATAGTGCTTGCTTCAGTCTTTGACAAGCCACTGGCAGGCTGATTGTGACTCGTTAAGGAGTGTTTAAAGTGCTTAAGTTTTGAGTTTTTGAATGAGTGTTTCTTTGCCTTGAAGTGGAGAAGCTTTGGAGCTGGCTATACATGTTTTGGTTTCTGGGGCATTTGGAACTGTCAGAGTGTCTCTTCAATAGCTCGAAGATCTTTAATTGTCGGTCTGGATCACTGTGAGTGACTGACTATCAAGTGTTCGTTGCTTAGTTGGCACAGGAGCAATTACAGCTCTCACTATCACTGGAGGCAATGGTGGAGAAACGACAGAAACAGGAGAAACGACGATCGGAGGAGGGGGCACAACGACAACCACACCCAGCGGAGGAGTCACGACGACGAGAAGCACTGGAACACCGGGAAGTAAGTAAAATCACCATTGCATTCGAAAAACACCCGCGTTGATTTAAAAATATCCAATTAGCAGCACCAAAGCCAATCCTGGGATGCACAATAGCCAATAAGCTTTGCAAATCTCGAGTAACAAGTTTTTGAAGAGGTAAGGTATACCAGTAAAACGCTTCAACGCTCAAAAATCGCCAAATATTAAATATTAAAAATTTTTATCTACACCAAAGCCAATCCTGAGATGCACATCACCCAAAACAAATCCTATTTTCCAGATCTCTCATGTGGTGCGGGTGCCGCGTTCGAGCCGGTGGTCTACAACGCTGACATGGCAGCATCACCGGGGAAGTATGGCGGTCAATTTATGGGTCCCGACGATTGTGCCCAGCTGTGCACATACAATTATGGACTCTTGCCCTGCATCGGATTCGCTTTTGTCACGGGGACGGGGCGCGGGAAATGTATCATCTATCAGTATGACTATCAGGTGAGCTACAGTAATATTTGGACTGTCGCGAACTCGTAGACTTATAGTACTCCTTGTTCTGGATGATGGCTATCATCTAGTTCAGGTGATGGCTATCATCTAGTTTACCATCCAGATCCCGAAGATAAGCTATTGGGTTGGCAAGTTATAAACGATAGTTTTAGGCAACAACTTGTTTATTTCATAGAACGCAAAAAAGAACTCCAAAAGGTTTTCTTAATCCAAAAGGTATTCTCCATTATTATCAATGACTTCTTGCCATCTTTGGCGCAATTCCTTGATACCATTCTTTCTTCTGGCGTCCTTCTGGCGATTTTAAGCATCACATTGCGTCATCACAAAAACAAGCCTAAACTTCTTTCGAATGCTGCGAAAAACAGGCTTACAAATTAAAGAAAGTTCAAGAGTTCTGCCAAAACAATTTCCCGGACTTCATTTCTTTTTCTGAGTGGTCACCTAGCTCTCCAGACCTCAACCCAATCGATTTCTCAGTGTTCTAGAACAAGAACAAGAACTCAGAGCAAGCCAAAGCTTGTTCAAAGCTCCACAAAAACATCAAAAGCTTGAATCCAAAAGGTATTCTCCATTATTATCAATGACTTCTCGCCATCTTTGGCGCAACTCCTTGATACCATTCTCAAAAAGCTGAGCGTCCTTCTGAGCAAAATAGAAATCAAGTGCGTTTTCGATCATCGAATGATCATCGAGAAGTTTTCCATAGAGGAATTGCTTTAACAATCGAAACAAATCATAATCTGAGGGTGCTAGGTCGGGTGAATAAGGCAGACCAATAAAAATGGACGGAAAGACAAGGGGAAGAAGAAAGGAAGAAAGAAAGACGGAGATCTTAAAATATCCCTGGGCAATACTGACCGTACAAATACCGTCAAAACTCTAATGGAAGCCCCGGAGCTTCTATTTTTCAACCCCTCAAGACTTTCAGCCCCATTCGGTCGGCCAAGAAAATAGCTAAGGGTCCCCCACATAAATCAAAAATTTATTTTTCTTTAAAAACTTTTTAAACGATAGCCCTTGGCTTAAAACGTTTTTAGTACAGGTTTTAAGTATTTTCAAATACTTTCTTACCCGGAGCCTCCTGAAATCTTCCTGAAAAACCAATTTTATTGCTAGTTTTGATAGTTTTGGCATATTTATGCTCAATTCTATCAATTCCCGCCAAAAAATGTCCCAAAAAATCAATATTTAGCGGGGTAAAAGAGGAGGGCTTCTATTAGAGTTTTTACGGTACCGACTGGATTTGCAACAGAAATCAAAAAGAATACTTTCAATATAACAACGATTCCTTTTAGATCACCAATGCATCGAGTCTCACTCCGGCGGAGAGCAATGCGACCATTTATCGAATGTGCAACTCTTTCTCGAGCACACTCACAACGATTATGTAAGCTTTTAGCAGAATACTCACTTCAAGTGGCACTTGATAGCTCTGATCATCAGAAATCAGGGTTGAACCCAACTGATGGCCGGCTTCTGGTCTTCTTGACCTGACCTGGCGTCACTTGGCGTCACTTGGCGTCACTTGGCGTCACTTGGCGTCACTTGGCGCCCAGTTGAACTCTGATGGCACCCTAGAACTGGCACTCTAGAACGCTCTCTAGAACCGGGACTCTAGAACGTTTTGTAACTCACTGAGTCATTGTGCGCACACAACAGCTTTTTATGGAACACAGGTCACCCAAGAATTCAGCCAATTCACGACCACGACCACCCCCGTCAACCCACCAGTCACCACCACTCCGACAGTCACCACCACTCCGACAGCCACCGCACTCCCAGTCACAACAACCCCTAGGTATCAACAAAATGACCTTATACTCAAAATTTGTGGAACACACCCTTTCTGGCGCACTGCAATTCCTAGATTTCCCCAGGGGGAGTAAGTAATGACTTGGTGCATTAGGCGGAGTGTGTTTATAGCCTTTAGCAAACAGTACAACGAAAAGAACAAATTTGTGTAATGCAAGCTGGAACGCACGCTGCAATTTGGAGTTATCAATTTTACTTGTTATCTTTAGCACTACCACGACAACAGCAGTCAATGGAGGAACAACAACAACGGGGTAGGAAATTTTCGAATTCTTGATTTATTTTATACTCATTGGTCCCAATGCTTTCCAGATTGGGCAAAAATTGATGAAAAAATAATTTTAGCGTGACAACGGCAACAAAAACGACGACACCAGCATCGGACACCACCACGACTGTCACAAATAATCCGAATCGTGGGTTTTTGAATTTAGAAAATTAGCTGTTAGGAATTTGACGGGAAACGTAAAATCTGAATGATTTTAGTTTAAATACTACCTTAGTTCATTGTATCTTTTAATTCGCCAAATATTGAGACTACAATCACTTTTCTTGACGTCAAACCCAATCCTGGGATGCACAGTACCCATTCACAATCATCGTTTCCAGAATGGCCACAATGCTCGGGTCCTCCCTCGGATGTGCCCGGATATGCAATTGTCGTCATCACCGCCGACATCTCGCAGGCGAACGGCCGCTTCGGTGGCTATTTCTACGGAGCCGAGGATTGCTCTCAGCTCTGCACATGGGATTACGGGAATCTCGGGTGTTCCGGGTGAGTCAAAAAGCTTAACCAATAGCTGAAATTCCTAGTCTCCACTTGGGAGTTGGGTAATTAACCCATTCGAAACCGCAGCGTTTTTTCTTTTTTTTCGTCTGCGGACCAAGCCTTTTTTTGACATTTTTTGACTCCGAAGCAGTTTATCCAGATGGTTGGAAAGATTTAAGAGAGTCTCCTACACCATTTATTTTTGATGAAGTACGATTTGGATTTGACTTCAGTACTTTTCACGATCCTATCGATTATTATTCTTATTTTATCGACGACCAAATTAATCGATATGTTAGTAGGCGAATCTAATAAACATGGAAAAAGGAAAACAAACTGGCAGGATTTCGATGCAAAATCTTTCAAGCTCTTCCTGGCTCTGTATCTTCAAATGGGAATCGTCAAATTACCGACGATTCGTGACTACTCTACTGGAGTAGCAGGCCTGGATTAGGAGGATTTTCCCACATCTCCCACATTATGTCAAGAGCAAAATTTGAATCTATTCTTCAAAACCTGCGTTTTTGTGATAATGAACTGGATTCTGCAGGTGATCGGCTTTATAGGATTAGAGCTAGATGCTAGAGCTAGAGCTAGAGCTATTATGGAACATTTCAATGCAAAACCAGAGGTTGCATTGATTCCGGGCAAATATGACACATCTTTTTTGCCCACTTAATTTGTAGATCTATTACAATTGGAATATACATGTAATGCTGGAAAACAGCAAAAAAAACCAATTAATTGAATGAAAATAGCTCAATTAGCTGCTCAATTAGAATAATCGCTGCGGCGGCCCGTTCCTGAGTTTTTGCTGCAGCGATTATTCGCTGCAGAAGTTTCGAATGGGTTAAACCGAAACGCTTTTTCTGTCTTTTTAGAATAAAACCCTTGCTTTAGAGGTTTTTCCAAAAGCTATCGTACCGCTTTGAAAAAGCTATCGTACCGCTTTGAAAAAGCTACCGTACTTTATATTTTCGCAAGATTTTGTCTAGATTACGGTAGCTTCGACAATCAATCCTTTCCAGTTTCGCTTTCACTCCAAACCCTAATGGTGGCCGCGGGAATTGCACAGTGTTCCAGCAGGATTGGCAAGTAAATGCCTGTCAAAACGTGGGCGCACAGATGAGCAACACCACTGTTTACGCTTTCTGTGGACTCAATGGAACGACACAAGCGTGAGTTGACTTGGAAAATGGTGGGGGAATTGAACCCGGGCGATCTATGGTCTCTAGTAAATGCATAGAAAATATATTTCATTTCTGGCAAAGCTGGAACGCACAGCGTGGGTTGACGTAAAATTTGCATTGATTTGTGACATTGTAGTAGTGTCGTTTAAGTTAGGTAACTAAACCGGGGGCAATTGATGAGCTCTAGGAAATGAATACTGAAATCTTTTCTTCATTTTTGGTGAGCTGGAACGCACAACGTGGGTTGACGTAAAATTTGCATTGATTTGTGACATACTGTAGTAACTAGTTGGGTAATTAAACCGGAGCACTCTCTAGTCTCTAGAAAGCTATCTTTTACTTTCTTAAGCGCCCCGGGAAGTTTATCTTTTTTGATACCCCTCTGAAGGGGGCTTATTAGGACAAATACGGTATTTGAATATCTTCTTCATTTTTCGTCAAGCTGGAACGCATGGAAGCAAAAAGACTAACTTTTTCAGTTGGCCACCAACGACCACAACAACGATGGCTCCGGTTACAACAACCACAACTCCGATCACAACTACCACGACTCCGGTCACAACTACGTATGTTACAGAGCTGCTATTTTATCCTAGAGCTGTTTTAGCACTCGTCCAACTACCACAACCGCCACAACCACAACTACGAGTACGAGTACAACGACAACAACAACCACCAAACCAACGTTCGTTTTTGAAAGGAAAACTTGTCGTCTGGATAGCACAAGATCTAATGTGCCATCCAGATCCAAAGAAAAGCTAATAACCAATTTCGGTGGCTGCACCAATCCGCCACTAATATGTCGAGCTTGAAACCAGTACCCAGACATGTTTTGCCTATTCGTCAAATCTAAAATCTCTTTTGCTCAAAATATGGTGTGCTATCCAGCTAAGCGATTGCCCAATTTTAGGACCACTACTACAACAACAATGCGCACAACGACGCCGACCACGACGCCGACAACGACAACGTGAGTTAACGACTTGAGTCATACAGAAATTGTATAATGGCACCCAGAATCGATATTGAAACGGTTTTTAAAAAGATTTCTTTGGGATTTCTGAATATTTTGAGCTGATCTCGACTTTTAGTCCCACTACAACGACGACCACGACGCAAACGATCGCCACTACCACAACAACGCCGAATCCCGGAAGTGGGTTGTAGAAAGATTAAAAATAAGCAGAATCACAAGCTTTAATATGCAAATTTTCCTGAGAATCGTATGATAATTGCATTTTCAACGGGTAAAACCTTGCCGACTTTATAACTTCATTCCCAAAAGCGGGATCTCGATAATTTTTTTGTATTTCGCCTAGCTGGAGGGCACATGAAAACTTGGCGCGATCAGATTCAAGTTTTTGAACTTTCTGGGCACCCCGGGATTTCTGGTTTAGTTACCCAACTCTTCTAGATTCCCTGTAATTTCTACGTTTATAATATTCCCCAATTTTCAGCCTGTCCCAACGGCTACCAGTTGGAAACATCGAATTTCGATTTGGACTCGGTTGCGCAAGGGAAATTCGTCGGCTATCTCTCGTATGTCGAATCGTGTTATCAAGCCTGCTACAACAATTATGGCTTGGACCATTGTGTGGTAAGTGAACAGTTGCGCAGCTAAAAACCTTCTGTGAGGTCCATGGCTTACTTTGTGGCAAGTTTTATAACTTTTTAGAATTTACGAGAATTTCCGAGCCTGATCTAGAAGCTCAAAAATAGTACTGTCTCATAGTTTTAAAATTTGAGCCTACCTTTTATTGGGAACTACTTTGTGCGTTCCAGAATTGACGTTAGCAAGTTCAAAAAGCTCAGACTCATCCCAATTTTCAGTTTTTCACCTACGAACCCGAAGCGAATGGTCTTTGCTATGTCTACTCATCGATGCCATCGCCATTCGTCTCCAATCCGTCAAGTACCGCCCAGGCATACACGATGTGTAGCAACGTGAGTCAATAACGACTTTTATAGCAAACCTTGGTTTAAAAGGTTTGGGTACGGTAGCTCAAACTACCGTAATCCTTGATCTTTCAGACATCCACCCAATAAAGTCAAGAATTACAGTAATCTTGTCCTTAATAATCTTGTCCTTACTTCTTTTCTTTAAAAAGCAACTGGGAGTCAGAGAGACGGTAGGTTTTTCGAAGTACAACTTCAGCAAGTTTAAATACGCCTAAATATGTTGAAAAGCGTATCCGTCTGCTGACCAGAATTAAGTTTTGCTCGAACTACCGTAATCCCAACCTTTCAGACATCCGGCCAGAACAATCAGGGCAACGGGAACACTCAGGGAAATCAGAATCAAGGTGGAAACGGGCGAAGAAAACGGAGAAGAAGAAGATAAAGAAATTTCGAGAATTTTCCCAAAATTTCCCTCAAATAATCACATTTTTCTGTTATTTCTATTTGTCATTTCGAAAAAGTCACCTAAAAACGCGAAAATCCTCGCGTTGTATCCGTTGTACGTGTAAATGCATTGAATTGAACGAATCGCAGCATAATAAATTAGTTCAAATTGTTATAAAACGCCTCGTTTCTGTACGGACCGTAAGCCCAAAATGTCCAGAGGTGCACAAAGTACTTTTGTCATAACTTTTTATAGACTTATCCAATCTGCATGCTTTTTGGCGTCATTCGATTGGAAATTCTCTGCCGAGTCGAATAACACAAAAAATCATGCAAATTAGATAATTTTGTGAAAAATTATAGCAAAAAGTAGAGTAAACCCTTTTTCTAAAAGAGTAAGAGTAACCAATTCGAAAAACTACAGTAATCTTTCAAATCGCTTTTGCCTGATATAAGGATGAGCTCGAGGAGCCGAATATGGTCAAAATTTAAGGAAAATGCTACGGTAGTTTTCCCAATTTGGCAACCTTTTAGAAAACGGCGCATCTATTGAAAAAGCGACAACCTCTTCCTGCAAAGTTTGCACACTCCAATCGGCAATAAAGAAAAATGTTAGCATGGCAAATAAATTGGCGACCGAGCTGGTTTTTTGTATTGGGTTGTCCAGTTATGAATGCGCGTCTTTACTATTTTGTAAATTTCTCAAGATACCGAACAGAAGTATATGAGTGTTATATATCATTCGAAAGCTGAAGATCTCCACTAGATTTTGGAGTAAGAAAGTTTTTGAATTCATTCAACTTTTTGGGAAATTGACTGCATAAAGGGAGAGGTCGTTTTCGAAAAAACCCATTCCAGCTTAGCTATTCCTCAAGTTTTATGGTGTAAAATAACCGCCCAGAAAAGAAAAGAAAAGTAAAGATGCTCTGAAATTGTTATATTTTAAAAAAAGTTGTATTGATATATCTATTGGTCAAACATCAAACGGTTAACTCAATTTGAGCGGAGCCAAAACTTGATCCAATTTTTGTTTTTTCCTTCCATTTTTTGGCCACCTCTTCTTCTGCGCAGTCAATTTGCCCAAAAGTTGGACAAAAACAAAAACTTTTTATATCAAAATGTAGAGGAGATCTTCAGCTTTCGAATAATACTCATATATATCTTTTTCTTGATTTCGGTATCTTGAGAAATTTACAAAATAGTAAAAAACGCGCATTCATAACTGGACAACCCAAAAGTAAAATGTCGATTTGGAAGGTTTTGAAGCGAAAGATTGGATCGATTTGGAAGCGTCGATTTGGAAGCGAAAAACTTCGCAAATTACAGCTTTCACAGAGAAAACGCTGAGAAAGCTGAGAAAAAAGATTGAGAAGCTTACAGCTGAGAAAAAATTACCAGAGATTTCCTTAAAAATTTGACAACTTCCGAACGCACTGACACTTTCACAGCCAATTAAACGAGAAAAAGTACGGATAATATAAAATCGTTTCCTTTTCATTTAACAAAAGATTTTAAAACTTTATTTTGGATAAGTGAAAGGTAACAAATGAGGCCAAAATAATAACAAAGCTTTTTTCTTGATCGATACGTGGAAATTTGAGAAGAATTTCTCGAAGGGTTCTTCTGAACACCAATAGCCTGTCAATTCAAAAAAATGGAAACAATGATAGAAAGCGACTAGAAGATACACTTTCACAGCCATGATGAATCATCGAAGAGTGATTTTAATCATTTTAATCGATCGAGACGTAGAAGGCTAAGAAGAAATAGCGATGAATACACGGCCTATATCTCTTTTGGTACACGTAGATGCAGTCTTTGGTCGAATCAATACGCCGACGGAAGATTGAGCTTTCCATGACGATTCCAAAATTTTCCAAAAGATCGTTTGCCTGTTTGAGAAGTTGAAGACGATTCTCTCCATCGATTCGTCGCATTCCTGGAGATTGTGAGAGATCTATCGTGAGGCCGTGATATGAAAGAATCCAGATAGCAGCCTCAGGGTTCTTGCTCGGGATTCCTTTGGTGATGATCTGTTGAGAAATCCAATCAATGTAGCTAATGTGTGAAGAGTATGAATGAACAGGCATATAAACATTTTTGATCTGAGTCTTCAGCAAGGCGTTGTAGTAAAAGCAAAATAAATCTTCGGAATAATGCTGAAACACAATTTCAATCTTCTCGCAATCCTTGAGTTGTGTCACAATGAAATTCTCGATGAGATCTTTGATCACTTGATCATCTTTATCGCCTACATCAAAGCCAATATTCAGTTCTGCTTTTTTCTTGATCGATGCGTGGAAATTTGAGAAGAATTTCTCGAGGGGTTCTTGTGAATTCCATTCTAATCGATTCACCGACTTCAAATTGTTCAGAAGTGTGGACTTCTCGTTGATTTGATTCTTCCGGAACAACAAGCGATCGCACGACCGAATATTCTTGATGAAAGAAAAGTGAGAAAAGGGACGATCGTCATTGAGCTCCATGTCATCTGAATTGGAAAACTTCTTAATCCGCATCCTTCTTGATCCGCATAATTCAATCCGAGAAACATGTTTTCCAAAAATGATTGACAAATCCCTCACGAGCATCCCTTGGAATTCTTTATTCACCTTGGCCAACTTTAGCACATCCAATGGTTCCATTTGTTCCAACACTTCCAACTTCAAATCGAAACACAACTTCTCCATCGGGAACATCTTCAGATTCGGCATTTCAAACGGCATTTCGATTGACGCCATTCTTCTACCTGTAAATAGAAAAGATTAGACTTTGTGTTGACAAAAGGGGTGCTTTACGGATCACTGAATGGCAACAGATCAGTGAAATTGACAGTCAGCTAGGGATTATTGCAAAGCCATTTATCTGTAAAGCCCCAAAAGAAACAAATTCGGCAAATCAAAACCAAAAAGCATAAGTAAGCATTCAAAAAAAGCTATAAAACTTTCAGATTCTCTAATCCAATCACTCAAAAGACTCATTTTAGATAGGTTAGAGCCAAATAAAATCTACTAAACTTGGCCTAAAAAGTAACATTTAGGCTTAAACTACGCAGAACAACAAGAAAAGAATGAAAAAAATGAAAAGAAGAAAAGAATGAAAAGAAAAAGAAGAAAATGAATTTTCCAATAGTTTTTTTCCCAATTTGTCCAATCTTCGTCTTTATTTTCCGTCGGAAAAAAACAGGTTTCCTATCAAAAAGGCGGAACAGAAACCATCCTGTCTGTTTAATCAAAATACGCAGGATAACTGAGAAAGAAATTATCGGAGATGTTTCCAGGAAAATGAGAAATTTATTATTGCAAAGCAATTTATCTGTAAAGCCCCAAAAGAAGCAAATTCGGCAAATCAAAGCCAAAAAGCATAAGTAAGCGTTCAACAAAAGCTATAAAACTTTCAGATTCTCTAATCCAATCACTCAAAAGACTCATTTTAGATAGGTTAGAGCCAAATAAAATCTATTAAACTTGGCCTAAAAAGTAACATTTAGGCTTAAGCCACGCAGAACAACAAGAAAAGAATGAAAAGTTTTTCCAATAGTTTCTCCAATTTTTCCATTTTCCCAATTTGCCCAATCTTCGTCTCTATTTTCCGTCGAAAAAAACAGGTTTCCTATCAAAAAGACGGAACAGAAACCATCCCGTCTTTGTAATCAAAATACGCAGGATAACTGAGAAAGAAATTATCGGAGATGTTTCCAGGAAAATGAGAAAAAGGATACGAAAACGTAAAAAGATAAGAAAACCATTTCCATTTGAAGATTATGTGATTTCGGAGATTTCGGGGATACTGTAGGGGTCAAGAACAATTGGGTTGGTGGAAAAGTCCTTTCGGATTTTTTGGGAGAGTACCTTAAATTTGTCCAATTTTGAAGTTTTATAGCTCATCCTAAAGCTGAATTCAAGCCGGATCGATTGGTAAAAACCGTTGTGTCTAGGGGTTATTTTTGACGCTGATCACGAAACACATGTTTTTAGCCTAGGTTTCTGCACGGAAAACCAACGAAACGTGAAAACAGCCATTTTTCGGCTCTGCCGCCCTTTACTAAAATAGCTGTAAAAACTGTTTAGAAAAGAGATATCTCAAAACGGTTTTTACCAATCGATCCGTCTTGAATTCAGCTTTGGGATGAGCTATAAAACGTCAAAATTGGACAAATTTAAGGTACTCTCCCAAAAAATCCGAAAGGACTTTTCCACCAACCCAATACATTGAGCTTTTTGGCTTTTTAGACATCCTTTTTCTCTCTTCACTCCTCTTTTCTTCTTTCCTTTCTTTTTTTCTCTTTCTTTTTCATCTTTTCCTCCTTCTTCTTTTTCTTCCTCTTTTTCTTTGCTTTTTCTTAATCATCCTTCTACTTCAACAAGGTTCCAGTGGGAAATCGCCAAGCTTCATTCTTTCATCTTCTTCTCGTTTTCGCTTTTGAGCTTCGTCGTTGAACTGTGTGTATTCCTTGACCGATGCTCGAAAATTGGCAAAGAACTTTCTGAAATCTTCCGTTGTATTCATGGCAAGCTCTAGGTGACTCACCGACTCCAACTGCCTTAGAATCCTTGCAGAATAGGCGTTGATCGGGTCTCCACTTTGTCCCATGAAGTGACTCCTTTGATGAAAGGAAGCATATAAGTACCAAGATCAAATGGATATGAATCGTCGAATTTCTGTGTCGTCACATTTCGTCCAACCGCCGTATTCTCTCAAACGGATTTCCTTCAGGTGTTCTCCAAAATGATAGATTGGTCCTTTGAATAAAAAGAGTAGTCTCTTGTTAGTAATCAACTTGTCTTGTCTTGTCAACTTGTCAACTTCGGCATATCTTGTTGATCGAGATGTCGTGCGACCTTCTTGATTCCAACGGGAAGTCGCCAAACTTCACCATTCCTTTTTCTTGCTTTCGCGTTTAAGCTCGCGTCTCAACCGGCATTCCCGTACCTGAAATTAAAAAGATATCATTTGTAACATTACAGGGTGACCAGAAATAACGTTGCGGAATTT